AAAAAACAGCATGAACAAATTTAAACCATTAATTTATTTTATTTTTAGGACTGAAGATAATTTTGAGGAATCTACTGATTCTTGGTGGTGAAAACGATGATATGGATCAAGTGGACGACAGAGCAGCAGATACCGAACCAATTGATTCAACTCTTGTTGAAGGTCAGTTGTAGGAAACACTTGTTGACAAAAGAAAATGCTACAATAATGTTAACAATAAAATAAATAAACAACCAAATTTTGAAAATAAACTTCTGGATGTTCTGAAAAACAGAACTCCTGAAGTAGAAGATCCAGATAAATCTTTCTTTTTGTCATTGCTACCACAAATAAGAGACCTAACAAGCAATCAAAAACTCCAATTGTATTCTTATATTAATAATGTATATTATATCATTCATTACAACAATAAACGTACAGTATACAAGTAGAAATAGCGTAGCGTGATGAATTTATATGGGGGGGGGTTAGCCTTTTTTTCCTTGTGGTACACTGGTTCATTTTTACACAGGGGGCTAAACAGAATTCTGGGGGGGCTTAACATAATTATGAAGAGCTATAGCTCCTTTAGTCCCCCCCATAATTGTACGCCTATGAGTATAACGCCGTGTCCTACGTGAACGCGACAAACGCGAAAATCGCGTCGCGGAGCGATCATCGCGGCGACTGAAATAATCAAATCTTTAAAAATAGATGGAAATGTCCAACGTACAGCGAAAATACAGATGGCGCGACTGAACGAATTCAGTCGCGTCGGTCGCCGCGTTTTAATAATCAAACTGGTTTGTTTTTAATCGTGCGATATTGCGAACATAGTGTTTTGCACATTATATTGTAATTTATTTTAAATATTCAACGGAATACAACATAGAACTTCTTATATCCGAAGTTCAAAAAAAAAGTGTTCTGTGGAACAAGTTTGACAAAAAGTACAAGGACAGACTTATCGCTGACAAAGAGTGGAATATAGTCGCAAAAAAAACAAATATGGATAGTAAGTATACCTATTAATAATTTATATTTTAAGTATATTATTATTAAGTATATTAATTTTATAAAATAGTACATACGCAGAAACATAGGTAATGTATAATGTTATTTAACACAGAATAAAATATAATAATGGTATCGGTACTAAGAATACTAACATACTAATAACGTAGAATATATAAGAATTATAATATTTATAATAATAATAATAATAATAATAATAGTACTTGTTGTACAAGCTAATATTGTAACATACATATTGTAATATTGTACACTCTAAATTTTATTTTCCATAAAAAAATTAACAAAATTGTTTCTTATGTTAATTGCTGTTCGCGAAGCATGGTTATTAGCTCTACCTCCTTGATTTAGTGCTATCATCTGATTCTAAACCATATCTAAATTAGTATCATTAGATACTGGTACATTTTGTATTAACATGTTTTTTTCTAAATCAATTATAGTGTTAGGCAACATACAAATGGCCTTTACAATATGGTCTGCATTTTTTTCTGTAGTTTCAATTGCCTTTAAAAGAATGCGAAATTTCGAAGACATAATACCAAATGCACATTCTATAGTCATTCGAGCTCTGGAAAGCCTATAATTATAATATGCTTTTTCATTTTCTTGAGACTGTCTTCTTGGAAAAGGGCGCATCAAATAGTTTCTCAATGGAAAAGCTTCATCGGCAATAAAAACAAAAGGAGTTAAAATATTTGAATTAGGCAATTTTGTTTCATTTGGAAGTTTCAAAGAACCATTTTCAATACGTCTATAAAAATTCGAATTACTCATAACGCTACCATCACTATCTTTGCCATACGCTCCAACATCTATCATTAAAAATCTGTAATTTGCGTCAGCTATTGCCATCAAAACAATTGAAAAATACTGCTTATAATTAAAGTACATACTTCCAGAGTTTTTAGGACATCGCATTCTAATATGTTTACCGTCTATACTACCCATGCAGTTAGGAAAGTCCCATTTTTCATAAAATTCTATTGCAGTATTTTTAAATAAATTAGTATTTGGAGTAATCATATGTTTACTTTTTAGCGCTATCCAAATAGCTTTACATATTTCAATAACAATTGTTGATACAGCGCTTTTCGATATTCTGAATGAAAATGCAAGTTGTCTGAACGCCATTCTTGTTGCTAGGTACCTATAAATAGGGTGGTTAAATATAATACAATATAATTATAATATTTTAAACTACAAAATAATTTCCAAATATTCGTATTTTGACGAATTTCGTCAACAATTTTTCAAACACTTATAAAGAAAAATGTTTGCCAATGTATTTAGGTAATTTTTGAAGCACTCATAGTTTAACGAATGTTAACTTATGAGCTGCCCGGTTATTGCACAAAGTCCTATATAATTTCATTTTTTATTATATCATTAAGCCATCATTAACTAAAATTGGTTATTAATCAGTATTAAAATTAAAAACCAAATAATTTATTTTATTTGTATTACCATTTCTTACGTTATTATAAATGTGTTTGTAGAAGATGACGCTAAAAAAAAATGGAAGAACCTTAGAGATACGTTTTTGAGGGAAACAAAAAAAGTAAAAAAAAGCCGATCTGGAGATGCACAAGAATCTGCTGAGATATATACAGGGAAATGGATTTATTATAAATCTATGTTATTTTTAAAAGATACAACGACGCCTAGAGACACGGGAAATGTTTCCGAAGAAGACCAGTCAGAAGTCGAAGAAAATAATGAACATAATATGCAAAGTCCCACAAGTCCTTCTTTTGTAGCTGATACCGAAACAGATGATGTCAGTGTTCCAAGTGTTTCGTCAGTATTGGCTTCTAATATTTCAAATGAATCAGATGTTTTAGCTTCAGCTACACAAGAAGTTTCTTCAAAAAAAAGGAGGAAAAAGCAGGAGAATATAAGTTTTGAAAATGAATTGCTAAAACTTGAAACACAAAAACTATCCGCATTATTACAATCAAATAAAGACCAAACTATACCAGACGATGAAGATATGCTATTTTTGAAATCCCTTCGCCCATATTTTCATAACTTAACTAACATACAGAAACTTAAGATCAGAAATCAAATGCAATCAATATTTATCAACGAATTATCCACACAACCGTTGTATATTCCTTCAAATTCTAATCAAGCCCATGCGTCAAATGATCCAAATTACTTGTACCAATATTAAGTTAATTTTCATATTAAAAAATTTTTTTTTAAAAGTTATTTATTTATTTTTTTTATTAATTGTTAATTATAATATAATATATACAATACCCAGTTGGTAATTTTTTTCTCTAGTTTTTTGTGTGGAACCAATTATTATTTTTAATAAATACAAAGTTATGACGTTATGTATATTTATGTATAACATACCTTATTGTAACCAGTAGTCGTTGTTCTATTGATATCGGTTCTTGGAAATTAGTTGTTTGAAAATCAAATTCAGGTGTTATAGCTTCTAGTATATAATCAAATGTTTTTGTTGACATTCTAGTGTATGATCGAAATGACAACTCATTTTCTCTTAATTGAGGATATAGATGATAATATTCACCAAATACCAATCGATCATTGTATATTACATTTGAAGCTGTTCTTTTGTTTTTTTTATATTTTTTATACAATACATATTTAATTGCAGAACTTCCAGTAAGAAACAATTTTTGTTCAAAAGTAAACATTTTTATAAACATTAAAGGTTAGGAACAGTAATTTTAGAAAAAAAATAACCAAACGACTGCCTGCGATTGAGGACGAATTCAAAGTGATTGTGTATTGGAATAAATATATAATATGTTCCCGTAAATTCGCGTTCATCGCGTTCACATTGGACACTACCGCGACCATCGCATTGACGGACGACAACGCGAACCCGCGATGATCGCTCCGCGACGCGATTGTCGCGTTCGTCGCGTTCACGTAGGACACGGTGTAACCAACATTTATATGTATTTATGTTGATATAATGATAAAATATGATATATATAATAATAAAGTACTTACTGAAGTGACTTGTTTTTGTTATTTTCATAAAATTAATATTTGTAACTAGAATATGTTAGAATAAAAGTAGAGTTAATAAGAGTTCGATATTTACGTCTAATTATAGCTAAAGAAATACTGACCAATAGCAATGATTGTGAAGTAGGTACTTGTTATCCATATCAATGATATTAGGGATATTATTCACATAATATTGATTGTTATTAGTGGCGGCTCGTGGTAGTTTCATATTGTAGTGCGATAAATTTGTAAATAAAATAAAGATCTCAATTAATAATAATCAATATGTGAATAATATTCCTAATATCACTAATATGGATAACAAGTACCTACTTCACAATCATTGCTATTGGCCGGTAATCGCCAATCGGTATTTCTTTAGCTATAATTAGACGTAAATATCGAACTCTGCACGCTGTAAATACAAAATCGCAGGTCGCCGCCGTAAATGTACGACGATAATTATCGCACAGTATAGTATAGTCTCGCTGCGCTGCCGCGGACCGCAGTCCCAGTCGTAGAGTTCCACAAATCGTGCTTATGCCCATAGATACTATAGCAGTATAGCGTACAGGTTGCCGCCGGAAATGTGCTACGAAAATTACCGCACCAAAATAATATTATAGTCCCGCCGCTGCCGTGTGCCGCCGCCGTTGCGGCACATCTCAATATAATCATAATTTGATAATATAACCCGTATAACACACATATTTTCTGTGCGCCTCGGGCCGCCGCACCATATAGTATCTACACAGTATACACGAAAGTACGAGTCTCATGTTACAGACGTTGGTCGCTCGACTTTCGTTTAATATTTAGATTATTTCTTATTGCAATGGAATAATTGCCGGGTTAAGATGATATTTTTCTTCAAATATTATTATTTTACAATACAATTTGGAATCATTTAAATTATTTCGTAAGAAATATAGACCATCATGATTCCTATTTAATTACTATGAGAAGTATAATTTCGAATATAATTTTATTTTAAAATGTGCATAGGGAGTGCGGTCGCACCATCGCACCTTAGCACGAGCCGCCACTGCCACCATTATGATGATGGAAGAAGAACTCCGACTTATAAGAGGAAACGTAGAAATGAGCTGGATAAAGATGAAAAATGCAAACATAGAATACAAAAATTTAGACTAGCTTGGACATCACAGCCTGAATTTAAAACTTGGTTAAGACCTGATTTGGATAATCCAAATAAAGCTCACTGCATTAAATGCAATATTAGCTTTACAGCCGAGCTTACGGTAATTAAAAATCATGCTAAAGGTAAAAAACACAAAAAAATTGCATCTGCCTCTTCTGTTTGTTCACAAAACATTATAAAAAAATTCACAGCACCACAATCACATGAAGATACATAACTTAATGATAATGTAAAAATTGCTGAAATAAAGTTAGGTGGGTTTTTTGCTGAGCACAATATTGCATTCAATGTAATGGATCATTTGGTTGAACTTTTAAAATCTATTTTTCCTGATTCTAAAATTTGTAATAAAATAAACCTAAAAAGAACTAAAGTCACTAATATAATAAAACATGTCATTGCACCATCATCTAAAAATGATTTAGCGAAAATTCTAAAAGAAACCAAATTTTCTATGATGATCGACGAATCAACAGATGTAGCATGTGAATCAACTATGTGCATAATTGTACGTTACTATAGTGTCGAAAAGGAATGTATTGTAAGTCGGTTTTGGAGTCTAGTTCAAGTTTATGACAAAAAAAATGCTGATCAAGTTTACAAAGGTGCAACTGGTCAAAACCTTTTCAATGCAAGTATTGATTCACTAAAAGATTACAATATACCATTAGAAAATCTCATAGGATTTGGGTCCGATGGTTGCAATGCTATGTTTGGTGTGGATAACTCTGTGACTTCGAGATTAAAAGAACAATTTCCTGGAATATTCCTCATGAAATGTATTTGCCATAGTTTGCAGTGAAGCGTGTAAAATGTTGCCTCGGCGATGCGAAGAATTAGCTCGTCATATTTATTCATTTTTTAGTCACAGTTCCAAAAGACAGAGTCAGTTTTACCAATTTCAGAATTTTCTTCTTGTAAAAGACCATAAAATGCTTCATCCGTCTGCAACACGTTGGTTGTCTTTATCATCAGTGGTTATAAGAATTGTCGAACAATGGGATGCACTAAGACTGTTTTTTAGTGAAAAGTGGCTCAAGGAAAAACTTATTGGTACTCAAATCATCTATGAACAACTCAACGATCCCTTCACAAAGGCCTTTTTTTATTTTTTGGAATGGGTACTACCAAAGTTTGTGTTACTAAACAAATATTTTCAAACTGAAAAGGTTGTTTTGGATCAACTTCATGAAAAAATGACACAAATTTACAAAGACATATTATTATGTTTTTTAAAAAGGGATTATGTTATGCGGACACCTCTAGCTGAAATTGATCCTAAAGATGAAACTAAAATGCTTGATGCAAAACATTTATATTTAGGTACAGTATAGAGTATAGATATAATTAAATAATATAACAAAAAAAAAATAAATGAATATGTTAAACACAAATGTATTAACCTTATTATTGTTTTATAGGAGTAAAAATTACCAATTATATGTCAAAAAAAGAAATCACTCAATGTCCAGATTTATTATCCAATTTTCACTCCAAATATAAGGACTTTCTACAAACTAGTTGCATTCAACTTAAAAAAAGGTATGATTTTAATGATCCTGTCTTGCCTCTTTTAAATTGTCTGAACCCCAAAGAAGCGTTGTCTAACATGGCTCGAGAATCGACACCTTCTATTCAAAATCTAATACAAAAATTACCTCGCATTGTCAATTCAGAAAACGAAAATGAAATACAAGTTATAGATGATCAGTGGCGTTCATTACCACATGAATCATTTTCAAGTGTGATAACTGAAGAAAGGGAGACGGATAAATTTTGGTCTAAATTATATAATTATAAATATGACGAAATAGTTCCTTATAAAGAACTTGCCCAGTTTTTTTTATCTGTCCTATCGTTACCACATTCTAACGCAGATTGCGAAAGAATGTTTAGTAAAATTAATCGAACAAAAACAACATCTAGAAATCGTATGATAACTGATACAGTATCAGCATCATTAATGGCTTGTGAATTACTATCCAATTCTATTAATTCTGATTCTAATAAAAAAGGTAATTGCATAACTTTTAAACCGACCATTCAAATGTTTAAATTAATGCAATCTAAGACCTTATACCCAAATGAAAATGATGATACTGAAACTGAAGAAATCAACTCATCTTTGTTTCATAACTAAGTGTTTATAGGTATCCAATGGAACTACTGTTTAGTGTTTATATTCTTAGAACATATTTTAAAAATTTAAATAGTAACTTATACAGACTTATTTAGACACCCTGTATAAAATATACTTTATACTTATATATTATTTTATTATATTTTTGTTTTAAAATATTGAATACTTTGTGAGAAAGCTATTTTATTTTATTATTATTATATAGATATTAAACTATTTTTGTTTGAAAACTTTTTGCTAAATAAGTTTGAGATTGTAATTAAATACTTAAATTGTTATACTTTATACTTGTTAGCTCAGTTTAGGTTAGTGGACTGTATTGTTTAAATAAATGGTAACAACTGTATTTTGATTTTTGCCGTGAGCGGCGGACTACTATTTTTTAAAAATTCAAAACAAACAAATTTAGGTATAAGTAAAGGGTTACACAGGGACTGGCCAATCTGGGGGATTCGTCGGGGATGACGAATAAAAATAACACAACAAATTATAATAAAGTTTTAGAATAAAGACGTACGCAGCCAATGCCGGTGGTGACGCGTTGACCTCGGTGACGGTGGCTTCGACGGTGATGGGTAAGACGGTGACCTCGACGGTGATGGGTAGGACGGTGACTTCGACGGTGATGGGTAGGACGGTGACGGGTTTTACGAGGCACAGCGCACAATAAAAAACAACATGGTAAAAACAACAAAAAACCAACGACAACATTCACGTCGCGTGACACTGGCAACGGCTAGGTGCGGGCACGAACTGATCCGGTTACCGAGAGTAGCGGGAAGGCGGCATCTGCTTATCGCAGTGTTGGTGTTGCTTACGTAACTACCAAACATACCGCCCACCTTGAAGGTACTCGGCTTCAATCTCTCAAGGGCATTGGGCATAGTTTTACCGCAGGGCGGGTAAGAACTTTTCCGGTTGAAGTTTTTACTTTGGCCACTCGCACAATGCCGTCGTCTCCGGGATGTACTTCGATAACTCTTGCGGTACTCCATTTGAGCGGAGGAGTCGGTTCTTTGATGATGACAAGATCATCGAGTTGCAGGTTCTTGTCGGGACGAGTCCACTTAGGTCTCTCCTGTAAAGTATGCAAATACTCATTTTTCCACCGGGTCCAGAAATGATATTGAATCTGTTGGATCAGTGACCATCGTTTGTGGGAGCTCATTGTAACCAAATCTGCGACATCCTTGGGACTCGGGATCGTTACAAGTGGTTCCAGGGTCAAGAAGTGACCCGCCGTGAGGGTCATGTAGTCGCTTGGATCCGATGACATAGCACTTAAGGGTCTTGAGTTTAGTGTAGCTTCCACTTGGTGGAGTACTGTATTAAGTTCTTCGTATGTAAGAACGGTGTTCTGGATTACACGATGTAAAAGTGACTTTGTCGACTTTACGGCAGCCTCCCATATTCCTCCCATGTGTGGCGCCGAGGGTGGGTTAAAATGCCATCGAATTTGATGTTCAAGAACGTTGTTGTTAAAATCAGCACCCTGGATGATAGCCTCTACCTCCGTTAAGTACCGATGGGTTCCCACGAAATTGGTACCACAGTCACTGTAGATATCCGTGCATCGGCCCCTCCGGCTGATGAAGCGGTTCAGACCAGCGATGAAAAGAGGGGTCGATAAATCGGAAACGAGTTCGATATGAACTGCGGTAGTGACCAGACAGACGAATATACATATATAGGCTTTGGTTATTTTGATCTTACGTATCATGGCTGCTTTCACGTCAAAAGGGCCCGCAAAATCCACGCCGACCTTACTGAATGGCTTTATTTGATTTAGACGGAACTGAGGTAGATTGCCCATAAATGGCTGTACTGGGCGAGGCTTCGCACGAAAACATGGCACGCATCTGTGTACTCTCTTTTTAATAATACTACGAGACGAAAGTATCCAGTATTTCTGGCGTAATAGATTTTGCATCGTTTGTGGTCCAGGGTGACCTTTGGTACGGTGGACGTGATCGATTAATAGCTCGGTCAATCGAGCAGTTTTTGGTAAGAGAAGAGGATGTTTTTCAGTGTATGGTATAAGTGCATGCTCTAAGCGACCTCCCACCCTGAGAAGATCCTCGTTGTCCAAGAAGGGGGCGAGCCTTCGCAGATGAACCGGGCCGCTTTTACCGGCACTAAGAGCCTTTTTGACGTCTTCAAAGAAAGCCTGTTGTGTCCAACGTATCAAGGACCGTAGCGCTCTGTCGGTCTCCTCTGTTGTCGGTGGCGACGTCCAATGTGGAATGGTTTTCTTTCTTAGCCGGTCAACTATCCTCAGCAGGTACGCTGTGAGTCTTAGCACTTTGGATAAGTTATCTGATTGCCGCAGTACACGGCATTCATCGTCGACAACTTGGGTGAGTAGGGTGATCCGCTTCTGCTCAACTTCTTCCTCCGGACAACTAGCGGGACACCTTGTTCCCTCCACAGGCCAAGTGTTCTCAGGTTGGCGTAGGAATGTGGGACCCTTCCACCATAACTCATGTGTAGCTAGATCGTTAGGCCCAAGTCCTCGGGACGCACAATCGGCGGGGTTGTCACGGGTCGGAATATGGCGCCAGATTTTCGTGTCGGTTAGCTGTTGTATTTTTGCCACACGATTTGCTACAAACGTCTTTAGCCGTACCGTCGGTGTCCGAATCCAAGATAATGCTACCGTGGAATCCGTCCAAGCAGTAACATTTGATATCCTTAGCATTTCGAGGTGCTGCTGAACGTAATTGATGAGACGAGCAAGTAGCCACGCGCCGCACAGCTCCAACCGTGGGACAGAAACCTTTGAAGATGGGGCTATCTTCGACTTTCCCATCAGAAGGTGGCAATTGGTTTGGCTTTCTGAAGTTACACGTATGTATACGGCTGCTGCGTACGCTGCCTCTGAGCTGTCGCTAAATCCGTGCAACTCATACGACGCACGAGTATGTGTGACAAGACGAGGAATTTTTAACGTGGCCAACACGGGCAATTCCTGATGATATTTGTTCCACGCTGTCGCCGCTTCTTCCGGGATGGGTTCATCCCAACCGACTTCTACCAACCAGAGATATTTCATGAGTCTCTTGAGGTCTCTGGTAACTGGTGTTAACAGCCCAAGAGGATCGTAAATGCGGGCAACTTCGGAAAGTATAGCTCGTTTACTATATTTCACAGGATTGGGTTGATATTTGTAACTAAGTACATCAGCTTTTCGGTCCCAGTTTAAACCAAGTACCTTTGTTTGCTCAGACTCTTGCTCGATGAGTGTAACCGGTTGTGTGTACCTATGGTCAACAGGAATAGAAGCCAGTAATTTTTCTGAGTTACTTGACCATTTCCTGAATTCGAATTGGCCTTTTGCGAAAACTTCCACGAGGTTTTTTTGAAGTTCCATTGCCAGTTCTTCGGTTTCTGCTCCTGTCGCCACATCATCCACATATAAGTCATGCTGTACGACCTCTCGCACGGTGGGCATGTTAGCGGCTTCATCCTCTGCCAACTTATGTAGAGTCCGTATAGCTAGGAACGGCGAGGATTTCTGACCAAACATCACCGTATTCATTTCGTACTCCTGAATCGGTTCATTTTGCGTGAAACGGTATAGTAAACGTTGGTATGGCCGGTGAGCTTCGGTCACTTTTATTTGACGGAACATTTGCTTTACGTCAGCAGTAAATACAACGGGATGTAGTCTGAAACGTAGGACTATGCTTGGTAATTCCTGTTGTAGTTTTTCTCCACACCAAAGGTTATCGTTTAAAGATAGTCCTGAAGAAGACTTTGCCGAAGCGTCAAAAACAACACGCATTCTCGTAGTTGTACTCTCCGGACGCATCACCGCCTGATGGGGAATATAATACGCACCCGTCTGTTCATCGACTGATGGCACTTTTATTTGAGACATATGACCCAAGTCCAGATAGTCTTTCATTGCGTTGTGGTACTCGTCACGGAGCTCAGGAAACCGTTTGAACCGATTTTCCAACTGTTCTAACCGACGCAATGCCACGTCTTTCGATTTCCCGAGAAGTGGTGGGTCTTGCTGAAATGGTAAGTGCACTATATAACGCCCATCCGATTGACGCGTTGTGGTTGATTGATATATTCGTTCGCATTCCAAGTCAGCCTGACTAGATTTCTCTACGGTTGGAACGTCTTCGTTTTCTAGAAAACGCTGTAAGTTCGGTCTACTGAATCCATGGTTGAGCACATAGTGACTATGTTCCTGTCTGGTGTACTAGACGTTTTTCCCATGAGCACCCACCCAAAGACCGTAGACATGGCAATCGGTTGTCCCGCGATACCTTCCCTTTTATCACCTAGGAAAAGGTGCGGGAAAATATCAGCACCGAGCAAAACGTCAATCGGTAGCGTCTCGGAATATTCAGGGTCGGCTAATTGTAATCCATGTATGTGGGGCCAGTTATCTGACCACACGCGTTCTGACGGCACAGGTCCTGTTATACGGGATAAAATTAGGACATCTACGTTAAATTGCGGTTCTTCTTGATCGACAGGACGTATAATTATGTTGGCGCTTCCTCTTACCGCAGGAACACGTGTCCCAGACAGAGCCTGTACCATAACGTCACATTTTTTTCTGACCAATTGCAATAGATGAGCACAACGCTCAGTTATAAAGCTACTTTGACTGGCGCTGTCCAATAGTGCTCGTACGGTGACGTGATTTCCTTCTTCATTCTGAATCACCACGCTGGCGGTTGCTAACAAAACTGAGGCATGGGGGTCTCTGGTAGACGACGCGGCCACCGTGACATGTGCAGAAGTGACAACCTGCTCGTGGTCACCGAAATGAAGCAAGGTGTGGTGCTTTGCGCTACACTCTGAGCATTTTTTTGGGTTCATACATTCACTCGCCATGTGCGCGCTGAAGCAGTTAAAACAACGTTTCAGATCTTTAATTATTTGATAACGTTCGGTTGGTGACTTTTCTCTGAATAATGGACAGTGTATTAACAAATGTCCTGGATGACTATTGCATACTTGACACGTGTACGTCCTCTTCTCTGGTTGATTAGTGCTAGTTCTCTTCGGTGTAAATGTGTGTCGTTGGTCTGTGCGATCACTGAATAAAGCGGTGGTTTTTGATAACTTGTTTCCTCTGACCGTGGCAGGTTTGTCGTTGGCTTGGCATACAGCAGCTGATTTACTGTACTTGGTGAGGAACGTGATAAACTCTAATACCGTTGGATCTTCAGTAGTGTCTACTAACAACTCCCACTGTGTCCTGAGATTTTGGTCCAACTTCTTTTGTAACAAATATAACAGAATTGGATCCCACTGATCTACGGCATATGATAAGTTTCGTAATGCTCCGGTGGACTCAACGATAGTGTTCAATAGTGTTTTTATTGAACCTCCATCATCGTGTGATGCATTAGGTGCTTTAGACAACTCGTCAAGGTGACTCTCGGCGATGATACGACGGTTTGAATACCTTGCATTTAGCTGCGATAAGGCTAGCTCATAATTACTGGCTGTCAGCATCAGATTTCCGATTAGTTTTAAGGGTTCTCCTTCCAATCTGGATTTCAGATATCCAAATTTAAGTACCGGTGACATATTACTTTCGTGTACCAGAATATCGAACATGTTTCGAAAACTTGTGTACTCTAATGGACTTCCCCTAAATATCGGAACAGACAATTTTTCTACTGGAAAGTAGGTATTTGTAGAATTAGGTGGTTTTTGTTCGAAAAAAGTTCTATTTAGCGTTGACTCAACCGCAGCCTCGGGCAGGTACTCATCTGCAAGAATTTTACAGCCTACATACAACTCTTCAAATTCAGCTTGCCATTTTTCTGTTTCCCCTTTGTCGTCCGGCTCTGCTGCTCCTTTGCACTGATATCGAATAATTGTCGACAGCTGCGTTTCAAAATCTTCAGATAACTTTTCTAGAGTTGCGTACATTATCTTAAATTTAATTTTTGCCTTCTTATCGTTCGAATCTCCTTTGATTGCCTCCCCTGCGTCATACACACCACGAGTTCTATTTGTCAAGTTTGATATGCGAGCTTTTGCTTCTTCATAAACGCCCATTGTTATATATTGTATGTGTATAAGAAATTGCAACGATAAATTGTCCGTGTATAAATACGTGACCTAGTTTTTTTTTTTTTTTACCAAACGTATTGTGCACCGTTTATAATTACGTACAGGTAGTGCGGATCCACGTTGCTCTCGCGGTACGGGGAGTGAAGATTTGCGCAGACCGCTTGGCGCCTAGCGATAGCAGTGGTAACAGAATTAGAGCCTAATGAGTACAAAGTCCAAATCGATCATAATACCCAGTAGACACTTACAATTGTCATATTATAATTATTACGTAATGGTCTAATTCAATGATCATACAACTAACGATTAAATGTCTAAAATCCAACAATGATTCAAATCACTTAGAATATTAAATAGTAATTTTTTTTTATATCCTAGGACGAAGGACCAAATGTTAGCCCAGTTTAGGTTAGTGGACTGTATTGTTTAAATAAATGGTAACAACTGTATTTTGATTTTTGCCGTGAGCGGCGGACTACTATTTTTTAAAAATTCAAAACAAACAAATTTAGGTATAAGTAAAGGGTTACACAGGGACTGGCCAATCTGGGGGATTCGTCGGGGATGACGAATAAAAATAACACAACAAATTATAATAAAGTTTTAGAATAAAGACGTACGCAGCCAATGCCGGTGGTGACGCGTTGACCTCGGTGACGGTGGCTTCGACGGTGATGGGTAAGACGGTGACCTCGACGGTGATGGGTAGGACGGTGACTTCGACGGTGATGGGTAGGACGGTGACGGGTTTTACGAGGCACAGCGCACAATAAAAAACAACATGGTAAAAACAACAAAAAACCAACGACAACATTCACGTCGCGTGACACTGGCAACGGCTAGGTGCGGGCACGAACTGATCCGGTTACCGAGAGTAGCGGGAAGGCGGCATCTGCTTATCGCAGTGTTGGTGTTGCTTACGTAACTACCAAACAATACTTATATACTTATGCTTTTACTGTTATACCTGTGATATGTTCATTCAAGGTAAAACAACAATTCTTAACAACTAATAAGTATTGTTTTTAAATATTGAATACTTTATGAGAAAGCCATTTTATTTTATTATTATTATTATATAGATATTTAAACTATTATTATTTGAAAACTTTTTGCAAAATAAGTTTGAAATTATAATTAAATAAAAAGAAGATCGTTATAAGTGTTTTAGTTTCTTTAAAAAAAAAAAAAAAAAGGTTTAGAGATACTATTCTTCAGATCAGTGAACGAGCGTCTAGCGTACATAGATATTCGATAATAATATTATTTTTGTTGTACTTGTACATGAAGGGTCAGAGGTACTAAGATAGCTAGGCTATGATAGATGCTGGCTATTAGTTTGTTGCTTCGGAGTGTTATCAAGTACCGCTCTCTTATCATTTGTTGGACAACTGCGGTTGCTGATATCTGATTGTCCACAGTATGCGAGCGTAGCGAGCAAAAATATTTTCGTTTGTACGATTTTTTTTTTTGAAAAACGATAATTATTTAAGTACTTTACGATAATGTTAGTTTGAAAGTCTGGCAACACTGGCCGCCACTAATTGTTATTAATTGAGATCTTTATTTTATTTACAATTTGGCCTTTAAAGTGTGTTGTTGTGTGTTCGTGGCGTATCGATACAGCTATTGCAGGTAAAAATAATTTATATTAATTTCCAATTTTGGTTCCACTTATTGTCTACAATCATGAATTCCATTCAAGAATTGATTAAATTAAATATACTTACTTACAGGTGAGGTCAATCATAGATTTAGTATTCATCTGAGATCGGTGTGGGTGGGCTACTACCACTTCAAAAAAAATTTATCGCACTACCATATGAAACTACCACGAGCCGCCACTGCTTTTTCATAAAACGATTGGCATAGGTACGTTATTTTTGTGCAACGTTGTCATGATAGCCGGAAGTCACATATAGACGAAACTGGAAATATCAAATGATTATCGTGATTATCTTGAAATAAAAGTTCACAATATTTATAAAGTTATAACCGCTGTAGATTTTATTAGTTGACTGATGAACGTACTAAAAAAATACTACTAAAGTACTGAACGTACTAATATAAAATCTAAAATGAAATAATAAAAATAATTACGTCGGAACTCGGAAAAGACTTGGCATTAGTTGGTACAAACAAATATCATTTTATAAGACAACGAAAAGACTGGCAAATTTAATGGTTGTGCACAAATAGGACATGTTATGCCAGTATATTATCAGACAGTGGCCGTTCAAAGGTATTATCAATGTTGGGTGAGCACAGACATATTTTAAATACAATGGAAAAAATCGAACACTAAATTTTACGAGAAAATTGTAAACGTAAAGCAGATGACTCAATTTCAATTCGACCATAAAAAATTATCAGATCTGAGCTGATGGCAACAGATTTTGAAGTGCCACATTCAGATATAAAATCGATAAGAAAAGTACGATAAAAGACGCAAAAATTATCCTCCTTTCCCAGATTCCCGTATAATTTATATTGTTTCACTTACCAAAATATTTGAAGATTAATAATATATACACTTGCTACAGGTAAATTATTGTTATTTTATTATTTTTTCTAAGTATGACATATTTATATTTATAACTTTAATTATATTCATAAATTACCAAACCAAGCAATACCAATCCTTATGTAGTCATGTATGAGGTACGTATGTCTTCAATATTCCCACTGTTAACATTCAACGTTGTCTGTTAACTAAATATACGTTCTATTCAAGTTATTCAATAAATTGTATTTAGATATATTTTACAAGTCAAATTAGAATCATATACCTAAAATCCAAGTACAACATACAAATTATGAATACTTTAGCTGCAAATAAGATACAAGTATCTTAAAAATGTCAAAAAAAGTTTTCCTAACTTGTCTTAATTTCAGCACCAAATACCATTGAGGTCATAGTTGTTATAAATGTTACCTATAATAAATTATAATTGTTGATACTAAAATAATTATGTTAATTAGTATAGGCCTCTTCACTTTTTCACACTCTATTTCATACTTATCATTATTTAATTTTATTCTGTTTTATTTTCATAGGTCTTGGGTGTTCACTCGGGTTGAACAATTTTAATGATAACACTGATCTCAAGTTACCTATCGATAATGATCCTGCAAAATTAAGTAAAATTGTTAAATTTTCATACAATTTAAAGAAGCTAGTCTTAATTTTAAATCAATGCCGAATATACATTTCCCTGTAACTAATTTTAGATATTTTAGACCTCATAGGCGGCACTTGGGGGGGGGTCATAAGGGGGCAGTTGTTAAAATGTATACTTTTGCACCCCCCAAAAAAAATTAACGAAAAAACCTGTTATTTCAATCTTTTATTGATAAACGCCGAAAAGTTGAATTTAATTTAAAATACTTAATGATATTCCCTCTGTAATAAAAGTATGGGAAAGAATTGAAAATATTTCAAAAAGTAATGGTTTTCGTGAAGCTAAGCTACCTCGATTGAAGTCTGTGCCATTAAAATTAGGTGGTGGTACCAAACAGTCTGTACAAAATGTTCAAAACCATTATAAAATTAATGTGTATTACAGTATTTTAGATAGCATAGTAATGTGCATGAACAACAAGTTCAAAGAAAATGATTTATCACTTTTAAATTCTATGTCTGATGTATTATTTAATACAAACCCCTTAACTGAATCAATATATGAAGTTTGTAAGACTTATAAATTAGAATCTGAAGACTTGTCAAGTGAGATTAAAATACTCAATAGGCTATTTATGAACCAAAGCTGTGATTCAATTATAAAAAGAATAAATTATGTAAAATCAAAAGATTTACAGATGGGATTCCCAATTTACACAGAAATTTTGAAAATTTTTTTAACTATACCAACCAATACTGCTTCTTGTGAGCGTAGTTTCTCTGCTCTACGTCGACTGAAAACATATTTAAGAGTCACTATGACTCAAGAACGTTTAAGTAATTTGGCAGTGTTATACATACATAACGAATATAAAATTGATTTTGAAAAAAAATTATTGATAGGTTTGATGTAGAAGCTTCAATAAAGGGTCGACGTTTAGCACTCAAGTAAATACTTTTGAATTTGAATATTGTTTTGTAATTTGCTGTTAAATAATTCTTTACGAAATATATGGATATAAGTTAATGTAAAATGTGAATTATTATTCAAATAATCAAATATTCATACCCCAAAATACAATAGTTATTAGTTTGAAATATCTCCTAATATTTTAGGTTATATTTTAAGATAATTATACTTTATTTTAGTAAATTTAGTCAAAAAAACTTTTTTACTGAAGTGAAAATTGGTAAAAATGCACTCCAATAAAAAATTAAATCAAGGTTGAAATTTTATTTTGAGAAAATTGGGTTATGAAAGTCCATTTTTCTAGGTTATTGTAATTAATTTTTGCCCCCCCCCCCCTAGGATCATTCCCAAGTGCCGCCTATGTTAGACCTGAATGGTTTATTAAAACAATATCAGATGGAACATCAGTAAAGCGAAACTGGATGTCATATTCATTAAGTGAAGATAAAGTTTATTGTATACTATGCATGATTAGTGGAGAAAAAAATTGTTGGACAACAAATGGTTTTAACTCTTGGAAAAAGGCTACTTTAAAGTTAATTTCTCATGAAACTTCATATAAACACATTGAAGTCTGTCTTCAATTAAAATTAATTGATAATTGCTTACCATTACTTCCCGCCCTTGAAGAAAGTAATAAAACTATGGTAGCTACAAATAGATTCATTGTAAATCAGCTTGTTGATATTACTATATACCTTGCGAGACACTGTCTTGCATTTCACGGACACAGGGGAAATTGGAAATGTTCAGGAAATGAAGTTGAAGCCGTTGAATGTAATTTTAAAGACCTAGTAATTTTGCTGGCAAAATATTCTCCAAGTTTAGCAGCTTATGTAACAGGCCTCCAAACCAGGGTTGGTAAAAATCAAGTTTTTTTTAAAATAAACAAAAAAACAGTTTTTAATGTTTTAAACATGTTTATTGTTGAATGTTTTTTTTAATGTTTAAACTGTTTTAATCTCTTGTTTTATTGTTTAATATTAATTAAAACTCGTGATAATTGATATACCGATGTGGCGATGTCCGATACGAGTGGTAACTGACTTAACTGAGTCTTGCCCGAAAATTATAAGAGTGGTTATACGGCGGTTATCTCAGCACAGCGAGCAAGTTCTCACCTAACACGTTTTACTTTTTTCAAGTTGGCGTCACTGATGGATCACTGGTATAAATCTTGGTATAAAACTATAAACATCCTTGTCATTTACGGACGACTGCCGTACATTCATAGATAATAAAATCTATCGGTACATTATAATATATTGGTATATTTATACTTCCGAATAATTAATTTCATATTTTCATATCACACTCACATTCAGTCACAGATGACAGCTGACCACACTACCATAGTAACATAAAACATTTACTGCGTATTCCAGTATCCAGTAATGCAAAATGCAAAGACTAACAATTATACATTTATACATCTGTGAATTGTGATAGTCTGATAACTGGTAATAATAAATGAAAAAAATATTATAAAAGTCATAACTTATAAATATAACACTTATAACAGTTATAAGTGTTATAACATACCTTTAGTTATCAATTATCATAGTTACTAATGTCAGTGGCGTGGTGAGTGATATATAAACTGCGGGCAAATACATATGATTAGACCCCCCCCCCACCAACACAAAAAAAATATAATTATTAATTGATTATTTATTTTTTTAGTATTTACACATTATTTTAGTTATCAAGTTGTATCAATGAGTCATGGTTATTTCAATATGTAACTTTCAGAATAGAGATTATTTTTAAGTATAACATAAGTAACTAAGTCAATGGTTAAAATGTATTATTGATGAATGAAATTTAAGACGGTAACAACTGCTTTGATAAAATATCGGATGATCTTGCTAGTAGATCAGTTGCCTTTTCAAGATCAATTTCTATATCTTTTTCTGAAGATAATAGTATCAACGATTCCAAACGGTCTTGTTGAGTAGTAGTTCTTAATCTATTTTTTATTATTTTCAACTGAAAACAAAAAAATCAGTAATAATAAATTTAACATATTCCTGTTTTTACTTTCTATAACTAAACAAGTAAACAAGTAAACAACTAATAATTAAATATTAATACAATTTACTGTCATACCTTAGAAAATGTACGTTCAGCAGATGCTGAAGATGCTGGTATTGTACATAATCCTTTGTACGCTAGATACATGTTTGGAAAAGAAGCCATCAATCCATGAGAACTAAGCAGATGTAGCATAGATGATGAAAATCCTTTAATAGGATTGTGCTCTTTTTCGGATGTACTACATGTATTTTCATCATAGTTTTCATCATCTTCAGGATCAACAGCATCTTTCTTATTAAGTGATTGAAATATATTTTGATTAGAACTTGTGTTCTCCAATGCCTGATAACTTTCAGCAAAAACTTTGTATTTAGTTTGAAGATTTTCTAAATGTATTTGTGGTAACCATTTAGCCAATTCACTGAATTCATTTTTAGACAGTGCATATTCATTTTTTTTTTTTGTGAACAATATTCGTTCTTCAGTTAACAAACTTAGGTCAGTTAAAAGACCTCGAGACGAACGAAATATATTTTCCAATGTTTCATTGACTATATCCAATGAATAATAAAAGAATTCTGTTTTAAATTTAGTTAGAATATCTACATTAGACTCATCTTGACATAATTCCCCTGGCATTTTCTTAATTCTTCGAATTCAAATTTCTTTTAAGCCAGTTACAACCAAGTAATTAGCACTAGCAAATGATTTTGATTCATCGATTAGTAATGAAAACTGTTCTTCTGATCTTAGAACCTTGAGTCTATTCTGAACACTATCAACCAAACATAGGGCTTCCACATAATCCAAACTGGGTGATTGAAGGTAATTTGATAATGGTGTCGTGACAGCAAATAATTTTCTCATGAAAATCATAACAGCAATAAACTCAAAAGATGAAACACTATGATATAATCCTCTGGCTTGAATAACAGTTGTGGTATCTTCACATTTTAGCAAACTTTCTAAAGTTTTAATAACAGCAAGGTATTTATGATATATTACATTGATGGCACGATCATGTGAACACCATCGAGTTGTTGATAGATTTTTCAATCTTAGCATTTTACCATTAGGATATAAATTTGTTTGATTATCAATGAATTCTGCATTTCTTTTCCTGGCAGACATAAAAACAGTCAGAGCTTGGACAGTGGTAAAAAATTGTTTTGTGTGAATACTAGATTCACAAGCATTAACCACGACCAAATTCAAAATATGAGCAAAACACCACACATTAAGGGCTCTGGGATTTTCGTTTTGTATATAACTTTTTAAACCACGATATTTTCCTTGCATCGAACTAGCGCCATCAAAAGCTTGTGCACATAATTCTTTCTTCCAATTTATATTATATTTTTCACAAATGCTACAGAATGAACCAAACAAACCTTTACCAGTGGCATCTTTAGCTACTTCAACTGATAATAAACGTTCTTGTATGTCACCATTATCCATTACATATCTCACAACAAAGGCCAATTGTTCTAAATGAGTAAGATCTGTAGTGGTATCAATAATAATAGAAAATAATCCAATTTCATTTAAATCATTAATGATTTTTTCTCTTACAATGTTACTTAAAATTAACAGCATTTTATTTTGTGTGTCATTTGATAAATAAGTAATTCTATTTTTTTTGGAATTCTCAGCTATATTCAACAAATGGGTAGAAAGATAAGGATTATGATCACCAAGTAGATGAATAAGTTCTAAAAAATTCCCTCTATTACTAGACAGGTTATCTTCTTGGTGGCCCCGGAAAGCTAAATTTTGTCTTGCCAAAAATAAAACAGCCTTGAAAATAGTTAAAACAATTTGTCGATTTTCTGCGATTTGTTTATTATTTGAATTATTTAATCCAATATCAACCCTTTGGTTTCTTAGATACATTCCTCGACTCATTTCAGCAGTTAAATGATAAGTACGAAATTCATGAGACTTCATTCGATCAATAAGATGTTTCCAATTATTGGTTCCATCTATAGCCAACAAATCTTTTTGTGCATCTTTCAAACCAAATAACTTACAAGTAGTACAGTAAACTTTGTCAGTTTTTGGAGAATATGATAACCATAACCGTTGAATTTTTTTTCCATTTCCTAGGTCTTTGAAATAATAGTGCGCACTAAAAGATCTCCCATTTTTAATTGGAAATTTTTTATTTACCAGTTCATGAGAAATTGGTTGACATGGTCCCATATTGACCAACATCATTCGTAGTTCAGGAGAAATTGATTTCATCTTGATAAATAAACAAGGATCATTTGGCAAAGTATTGACATCATTGGCAAGTCCATTTTCAGGAACATAATCATCAATTTCTGCTGCATATACAACAAAAACCATTTTACTGATATTTATAAATATCTTGTTCTAAATAAAGATACCTAATGCTGTATTTTTAAAAACGAACATAATTAAAAATAAATAAGATTTGGATTTATAAGATTTTTATAATTGAAAATAAATACATTACTCTTAACCACTCTAATAATAAGCATTATTAGCATTTAATAATATGAGATAGGTAAGTAGGTATTGAAATACAATACTACTTAAAAAGTTCATAAATACCTGTTGTATCTATAGCTATAGCAGAATGAATGTTGGATTCTCCAGCAGATGTACTTGGTAAAGAATCAACTATAATTAAAAATAAAAACATAATATTTAATTAAAAAGGAACAAATAAGTTTACATAAATAATTTTGTATTGAATAGATAAATATAAAAAAACATTATATTAAATCAATATGTTAAGTGGTTTTTCAATACAATACTACTTAAAAAGTTTATAAATACCTGTTGTATCTACAGCTATAGCAGAATGAATGTTGGATTCTCCAGCAGATGTACTTGGTAAAGAATCAACTATAATTAAAAATAAAAACATAATATTTAATTAAAAAGGAACAAATAAGTTTACATAAATAATTTTGTATTGAATAGATAAATATAAAAAAACATTATATTAAATCAATATGTTAAGTGGTTTTTCAATACAATACTACTTAAAAAGTTCATAAATACCTGTTGTCAGTGGCGTGGTGAATGGGGTTTTATGACGCCTAGGCGTCATGGTGAATTTTTTTTTTGGGGTGGGGTGGTTGGGTACATTATGGTAACCAATAACATACAACAAAAATTAAAATATTTACAGTTCCATAATAATTATATTTATTATATATTATATTAAGGGGATAAAGAAGAGGTAGGTACTGAAATATATGCTGGGCATCAAGGTTTATAAATGTTCACCACGCCACTGCCTGTTGTATCTACAGCTATAGCTGAATGAATTATGGATTCTTCAGCAGATGTACTTGGTAAAGGATTACCCATAACTAAAAATAGTAGAATCACGATCACCCATTATAGAAGTTATAGAGTCATAACTCATAGAGAATATATTTTTTCTAGGTATGACATATTGATTTCTCTAAATATTGTCTCCAAACAATTTAAATTTATATTTTTTTGAATAGGTACTAAGTCAAATGATAATAGATATTAAATAATAATATTGAAAAGTACTTACATTTAAATGAATTTCCAACAAAAAATTTTGTTATTTTGTTGTTTCCAACAGCTTCAATATTTTTTCTTTTTTTACATGATTTAATATGTTGATTTCAATTATATTCATTTAATACACTAAGATTTTTACCACAATTACATAATATTATTGAATTCATTTCAAATTCGCAATAAAAGAGAAAACAATATTAGGTATTATTACACTTGTTCATTATTTTAAACTACTTTGGCGCACGCAGAACGACCCGCTGACTCGCGCGACTCGCCTTAACCCCCAACCAATATGCGATAGTTGTGCGTTCTGTGATTGGCTGACTGTCATATTCTTAGATGGAGCAGAGTATAATTTATAGTAGACTGTAGTTGACGTTTGTAGGACGTAAACCGCGATTACCGCACTGGGCGATTACGGGGCGCGGGCGCATAGAAACACTGTACAGCGGCAAGCGAAATTGGGAATTTCCAAGTATCAACTATAATTATTAACGAACAATAACTATTCGATATTTCTATCAATATATTATTAGTATGCCCGATGCGTCCCACATGCTAACATTATCTTGTATTATTAAATACATATTATTACAGTAAACACTAAACAGGAATAAATTGGTCCACAAATCTAGTGGTACCGGGTAAGGGGGTACCCCCCCCCTCGGAATTTGACGAGGGCAATTGCCCGTTTGGGTCCTATGTTCGCCACGCCACTGACTAATGTAGTGCGTAGTAATATATGAAGTTCATTGGTTTTTAGTTTTTACAATTTTACTTTTTACTTTTTTCAAATAGTTAATTTGTATTTTAATATTGTTAAATCATCATGAATACTGGCCGAAGAAAGGACGATATATGAAAATATTTTCTTGAAGTCCCTCAAACCAAAAATACTATGAAAAGTAAAAAATGCAAAATGGAAATGAATGCATTAGTAGCACGGATGAGGACTCATTATTATGAAACGTGCTGTGGTCTAAACCTTAGTGAAAATGATTTAAATTCAATTGATCAATCGATAGATTTACCAGGTAATTTATCATTTTAATAGAAAACATATCTAGCTATCAAAAACTTAATTAAATAAAATCCGAAATTATAATACAAGTGTGAACTAATAATAAATATTAATTATCTATTTTATATTTGTATTAACTAGAAAGTTCACTTGAAGATACTGTAGAAGTTATCCAGCCATTACAAAAGCAACAATTCCTAGCAAATAGAAGTATGACAAGTTTTTTTATAATCGTGTATGACTTTTCAGTGTTTATTACTTAAACACCAACTGTTTACTGTTTGATCTGGGTCTCTATGACTCGTGTGCCTTCTGGCTACAGCAAATGTATAACTGTGCAAGTTATAAAAAGCATTAGGTACCAGCTGATAATATTTAGTATATTGCACCAATATCGTATTGGTATACCTAACTTGCAACTACACACTAAAAATTATGATGGCTACAAAACAGGTGATTATATTTTTCAATTAATATAATAATAGTCTTAAATATAAATCTACTTATCTACACATGTTTGAGTTCTTTCTTATTACCTATTTTATATATTTTAAACTCTATACATCCCTTCATCCAACACATTAACTGTATGTATGTGCTTATTTGAAGTGATGTATCACTTTAAAGATTGGTTTAGGCACTCTACTCAACGTTTATCCAGAGAAAAAGGACGCCAACAATAAATGAACAAGATTGTTTTTTTCCATAATATTTTTTATTTTATACAACTATTTATTTTATTATTAGTCCAATGCAGATACTATTGCTTTATTATTTAATTTTTTTGTATTTCATAAAAAGAAATAAAGTACCCATTGCCGGCAGCAACTATTTATACCGGGTATGTATGTATGTATGATATGTAAATACTCACCAAAGATGGCACTGCTGTATGGAACAGACAACGGCGTCGCGCATTCTCCTCTCTGTAGTCAAGGCCAGGAACAAAATGCCTCAAACACAAAGTAGAGGTTAGGTTTACAGGAAAACCTTGGTTCACCACGAATTCCACCCACTGAAGACGACGTTCGTCAGTTGGAAACTAAGGATGGATGTGATTTATAACATGTCACATTATCGTTATGTGAAGTTGTAAATACCTGTGCACCGAAACGTTATTGTCACCATCCAAATTTCCACAGATCACACATCGTTTCACCATTTTGAATAGCCTGGAACGCATAATTTATATCTAATAATTAGAGTTGTACTTTTCTGATAGACCAGGTCATGACGGTTAAGCAAATATAATTTTTGTCATGGTACTATAGATATTTTTTTCCTAAATTACTTCGAAAAAATGTATATTGTGATAATCCAAAATATCGTAATTACAGTGGTTTCTTTTTTGAACATAAGTCTATTTACCCTTTAATTTTTACCTAAACTTTATGAAATTATATTTTTCTGATAGACCATTTTATGACGAATAAATACTTATGATTTTTGTCATAGTACTATAGTTATTTTATTTTTTTAATTACTACGAACAATAATATTTTGTGACGATCCAAAATAACGTAATTTTTACCCCATTATTTCGGTCTTAGGGTTGATAAAAATTTTCCAACGGTAAACTTCTACCAAAATATTTTAAGTACATATTATACAAATTGCACATAATAATTTTTTTTATAATCCGTTCTACCAGGAAAAAATAACATCATAGACTTGGGAAAAATATTTAAGTTTTTATAGCGTTATGTTCAAAAACTTGCTGGTAAAATTACCGTTTATTAGTAAAATC